GAGGCGGCGGCCGGCTGGAGGGTGCTATAAGAGATCCCCGGGGACGAGTTGGGAGGGTCCGGGGCGCCCGGGAGGTGTGGAGGACGCTAAACCGGGGCAGGGGGTCGTAGGCCTGCTGGGTTCAACTGATGGGGGATTGCGCCGCCCTTCCGCTGCAGTTGATTAGGGGCGGGGGTCCTGGAGTAGGGGTGGGGGCCGAGGTGAGACACAAGGATGGGACCAGGTGCAGGAAGAGGAGAGAGAAAAGGAGAATTAATGTCCGGCGGTGGCAGTTCCCCCCCACTCTACTGACCCCCACCTTCTCCAGACCCGGGGAGGTGTCCCGGGCCAGCCCTGTCCAGGTCCTGGGGATCTCCGGGCCTGGCAGGGGGGTGGAGGGGGGAGCTTTCCCCGCTGAGCCAAAGTACCCTTGGAGTTAATCCTGTTGACCCCCTCAGAGGAGCTCAGAGCCCCTCAGCCCTACCCACCCCCCACCCCCCAGCCCTAGCTGAGTTCGGGGAGTTCGCTCTGGACTCCCAGGTTGGGCCTTGCCCTCTCCTGCCTGCCCCCAATACATCCGGATCCAACGCTGTCGCCCCCACCCGTCACCTTAGCGACAGCAGGGTGGGGGCGCGACCTACGAGGAAGAGCTTAGGGGAGGGGGCGCTACAAGTCCCCACCTGCGATGGGAAGTGAATTTTAGTTTCACCCGTTGTCGTGGCAACGCGGGCGGGGTAATGAGTGGGCGGTGGAGGGGGAGAACAGTAAAGAAACTAGCTAGGGCACTGCCACCACCACCACCACCCCCCCACTTGGAGAGCTCCTGGTGCCTCCAGCCCTGTTAATCCTCCGGAAATGCCTCAGCACTGGGAATCCTAGAGCCCCTACTGCCCCCTGAGGGCAAGGGACAGCCAGTTGGGATTCCCTCATGTCCCCCAAACCCACTTATGTCTCCCACAGAGCACCCACAGCCTCTCAAAGAACAGTTCCCATCCCCAAGAAAGAAACCATGATGGTTTTACAGAACCCCAGCCCTCCACAAAGGAGCCCCGTGGTAACCTCAGAACATCCCAGCCCAGGAGCCTTGCTGCAGGCCCTCCACCCTGGCCAGCATCAGGTCTCACAAAACACCTGACCCCTCCCCAGGAGGCCCCCTGGGTCATCCCTGAAATCCTGATCCCACTGAGGCAGAATACTCCTGCCCCACTCCCTACGTAGCAGCCGCTCACCCCCCATGAAGCCCCCTCCCCAAGATTCTGACCATCCTGCCCTCCAAAAGCAGCCTCTGGCCAAGCCAGAGCAAAGCACCCTTCCCCTGAGGCCCTGCCCCGGCACCCTGACCAAGCCACACGAACGTCCCCAGGGTTCCACTGACCCCTTTGTAGCCTACCTCTGCGTGGTCAGCGTCTCAGGGTCTGGCTGGCTGGCCTGTTTCTCCACAGGCCTGACCAGGAAGTGGGCCCAAGGACACAGGACCTCATGGGCCCTGCCCAGGCTCCTCCCAAGGCCAGTGACTACTGGTCTGCCTGAGTGGGGGGTCTCCTGGGGCCCTTCAGGATGGGAGGGAGCAGGATGGGGTGGACTGAGGACCCCTTATCTGCAGGAAGCAGCTTGGGAAGCACAAGGATTGGATTTCCTGTGTCCAGCCCTGGCTGGAGGAAATGACTGCTTCCTGACCCACTCTGTCTCCACTGTCTTCCTGCCTGCCCCTCCCCATCACCTGCACCCCAACCCCTGCCACCCCCAGTTACACACCCGGCTCGTGAGGGTCACTCCTGCCCTCAGCCTCCAGCTGGGTTCCCTCCCAGCCTCCTGCCTGCTGTGGCCCTCACTGTGGCTCCCACCGTGGCCCCTGGATCTGTGATACTCATCAGGACCAGAAGTGGCAGGTCACGACTGTACCCATCCCCTATGGTCAGAGCTGAAGACCTGGCTTCCAGCAAACCTTCCCTATCACACCCTGCCCTCTCAGCCCCCCTCACCATCCCCCACCTTCAGGGGCATCCTCACACGGACACACCTCTGTGCTTCCAGATAAACCCAGGGCCCCGCCCTGTGAACCTTTCTGGGGAACGCCAAGTTTTGGGCTGTGCTTTCCAGGCCTTTCTGGGTTATGCTTCACACTGGAGCCCAGCTAGGGAAGGGAGGGAGCAGGCACAGAAGTACCGACACCCCTTCTTTCCTGGAGAACGAGGGAGCCCAGACTCCTCCCTGCCTGCCCCCACCCCCCTCCCCAAAACCTTCCTGAGCAGCACCTGTCCTCCACCCCCACCCCTCTGTCAGGCCACCCTTCCCTGGACTGCCCTCACCTCTGCTGTCCTGGCCCCACAGAACCTATGCCCTCCCCACCCTTTCTGACAGGGCCAAAGAACTAGAGCTGTGGTCTGGCCAGCATGCGTGTGTGGGTGCGTGCATGCGTGTGTCTGACACACACACACACACCTGGCCCAGCTCTCAGCTCTTCTGGTCTCACGGCAGTCCCATGCTTCACTCCAGACAGGCTCAGGATCTCTTGGACCTGCATCCCTTCTGGTTCCGCCCCCCACTGCCCCCCATGCCCTCACCGCAGCCCAGTCCTACTGCCCTCACACCTTGCGGCAGCAGCCTGGCCTCAGTGCCCTGCAAACATCTTCCATCCATCTATGTCGCCCCTGGCCTCTCTATGGGTCTGTGACGGTTCATGAGGCCAGGGGGTGCCCCTCCTGGGGCCCCTCCAGGCTACCCACCCCTTAACTGACCCCCTTCCTCTCCTGTAGGGCTACTGCCTTCTAAGCTGAGCACTACCTGGTCCATTCATCCAGCTTCTCTGTCCTTCCCCACAGCCTGGAGGACCCTGGGTTAGGGTCTTTGCTCCTTTTGTCCATTGATGTGCTCATGAAGATGCAGGCGCTTGGTGTGTACTGGTTGTATAAACACCAAACTGCAAAGCTCAGCCCACAGCCACAGTGAACCTCCACCGTCTTCCCGAGGTTGTGGCACATGGCTGACCACTGACGTGGGAATCACTGAAGAGGAAGCTTATCTGAATTCTCAAATGTATACTGCAGGGAGACAAACCTTGACCGTTCTTGGGTGATGGTCTTCTTGTGATATTCTTGTGTGTGAATTGCCAGTGCAATTCAAAAGTGACCGGATAGAAGAGCACTGTGCGTGGGGCTGCCGAAGTGGCTGCCGACAGAAGCCGAAGACCAGGTCTTCCTGGGACACAGCAGCACGTGCTTTCAGACGGCCCACCTCAGGTTAGCATTAGTGCTTAACCAGGCCTCCACCAGGGCTCCTTTGGATCTGTAGAGATTTCTTACTACATTGTGGTTATAGACGGTCATCTACATAAGGTTGATATTTTGTTGTTGTTGGAGGTGGTGGTTTTGTGAAGTCTTGCTTTGCCATCCTGTTAGATGCTGAAGAGGCAGGTCTGCCTCACAAACACCCCACTCACCGCCAAACAGCACACCTCCCAGGCTTGCTCAGCCTCACAATCATTGCTCTGTGGAAGCCCATGGTGGCAGCCGCTATGTCATTTCGTCTCCCTAAGGGCCTTCCTCTTTTCACTGACCCTCTACCAAGCATGATGTCCTTCTCCAAGGACTGGCCTCTCCTGATGACATGTCCCAAATGCCCGCACTTCTAAGGAGCACTCTGGCTGTACTTCCTCCAAGACAGACTAATTCATTCTGGCAGTCCATGGTGTGGACACTCAATATTCCTTGGTAACAACATGATTCAAAGGGATCCATTCTCCTTTGGTCTTCCTTATTGTCCAGTTCTCACACAGACAGGAAGCCACTGAAAATACAATGGCTTGGGTCAGGTGTACACACCCTGGTGTCATCATGGTTACGTACTGGGCTGCTAGCCCCAAGACCAGCAGTTTGAAACCACCAGCTGCTGCAAAGGATATAGACAGGACTTTCTACTTCCACAAAGAGTCACAGTTTTGGAAACTCACAGGGGTGGTTCTACCCTGTCCTATAGGGCCACTATGAGTCAGAACTGATTCTACAGCAGTGAGTTGAGTTTGGGGCAGGTGAACCTTAGTCCTCAAAGTTACATCTTTTCTTTAAAATACTTTGAAGAGGTCTTGTGCAGCAGGTTCACCCAGTGCCAATAATCCTTTGATTTCTTGACTGCTGCTTCCATGGGTGTTGACTGTGGATCCAAGTAGCATGAGATCCTTGACAACTTCAGTAGTTTCCCCATTTATCCTGAGGCTGCTTCTGGATCCAGTTGTGGGGATTTTTGTTTTCTTTATGCTGAGGTGCAGTTCATACTGACGGCTAGAGTCTTTGTCTTCACAGCAAGTGCTTCGAG